TTCAGACTTGGTCTAGAATTGGCTAGTACTGAATGAGTTAATAAAAAGCATCGGCCATTACCTGAGGAAATGTGGTGTATTAAAAAAAAAAAAACACACCTTCCCTTCCACCAGACTCCAGCCAACAAACAACAGAAGCACATGATTAGTCCCAGGACCACTCCCACTGCGACGATGACTGGTTGACTGGATCCTGCACAGCCATGAGTAAGTCATTTGTATTCATGGTACAGCATATGAGATTCCCAGTGTGTCAAAAATACAGTATATGCTCTCACTCTGCTTGGATTCCACCAAAACGGGACGTTCTGTGGTCGTGAGAGATGTTTTTGGAGTCGCCGCGTTAGCTTTGCCGGACGGAGATTCTGTTCGGCAAAAATAAATAAAGCATGGCCAATAATGCTAAGAGATGAATAACAGTTGAAAAAGACGGGAGACGATACCTACCGTCAGTTGAACGAGATCTTGGCGTGACCTTGACAGGGCAGCCCAGGATTTGGAGTTGAACCGAACCTCGGCCATGGCGGCGCTGAGGCCGCACACGGACGAAGCGAGCCACGGCCGGAGGAAACAGGCTGTTGAGCACCCTCGGGTGACCGTCGGCAAAGGCCTCAAACACCTTGGAAGAGAGAGAAAGCTGCTTGATTTATCCTGTGAGGAAAAAAGAAATGAGAGCCACAAGAACAACTGATAATTTCTGCACGACCATATCAGCAAAGGTAGACAACTCAACCTTTTCTTGTTTGCTGACAGCGTCTTTGTAAACTTTCCAGTTCTTCCTGTCTCTGCTAAAGAGCAGCGAGTAGGATTTGAAGTGGTTCTCGCTCGATCCGGTTGTAATCACTCCTGAAAAAAAGGGAAGGGAGACATTGTTGTTTCACTTCGCACTTTGTCCGTGAGAATGTGTTCTGGTTTTGTGAGGTGTCCCATCAAATGTGAGGCCTCATTACAGAGCGCTTCCTTTTAATGATGCGCTTCCTCCATTTACGTTACCGTGCAGCATTTCGGGGGTATGAATAGCACACAATCACACAGCTGAAGGACACATGGTCATGTGGTGCAGGAAGTTGTTTTTTTTTTTTTTTT